TTTTTGTAACCTTGGCCAGATCTGTGCCTTGCCACAATTCTGTCTGTGAGCTCTTCAGGCAGTTCCTTTGACCTCATGATTCTCATTTGCTCTGACATGCACTGTGAGCTGTAGGGTCTTATATAGACAGGTGTGTGGCTTTCCTAATCACGTCCAATCAGTATAATCAAACACAGCTGGACTCAAATGAAGGTGTAGAACCATCTCAGGGATGATCAGAAGAAATGGACAGCACCTAAGTTAAATATATGAGTGTCACAGCAAAAGGTCTGAATACTTATGACCATGGGATATTTCAATTTTTCTTTTTTAATAAATCTGCAAAAATGTCAAACATTCTGTGTTTTTCTGTCAATATGGGGTGCTGTGTGTACATTAATGAGGGAAAAAAATGAACTTAAATGATTTTAGAATATGGCTGCAATATAACAGTGAAAAATTTAAGGGGGTCTGAATACTTTCCGTACCCACTGTATGTTCTAGTACTTCTATGCAGAAGATACTTTGTTTATACAAGTCTCACAAACTCTCACTCATGTAACTCGTTTTCTGACAAAATAAAGTATTATGTGCTAGTTTAAGGATCTCCTTGAATGGTCATAATCCCCAGGCAATTGCGTGTTCATGTAAGCTTGCCTGTCATCCACTGGTGCCATTGTAAAAGTGGAATTTTTCAACTGCACCCAGTTTTGTGGATATATTTTACCTCCTGCTGCCTGCATTGTAACCAGAGGATATAGAGAAAAATACAGGGCCTGAGGTTACTGCATGTCCAGGAATGTTCCTGTACAGGGACCTGCTATTTTACCTTACCGGGTCTAATCTACGATCAGCCGGCCAGTGAAACCCCCCATGGTGGTGAATGATCAGCTCATCAATGCTGGATTCCCCCAGAGCACAGTATCTGTTTGTTTTCACTGCTTGAGGCCAGTGTGGATGTGTTGCTTGTTAATGAGCGGATTAACGACTTGTGATGTTACTGTTGGTGTCAGCGCTAAGCTACCTGTTGGAATTAATTTCACTACTTTGGGACTGTATGTGGTCATGTGGGGGAAGACTCAGTGACCTCCAGTTGGATTTACCAACTTTGGAGCTACTTGAAGGGAGTGATGTTTCCAGTATTCAGTGGGACTTAAGGGTAGGTTTTAAACAAAACAAAAAAAAACACATCGCATGTCTGTTAATGCATTGTTTCTGTAACCTTAGAGAGAACTGTTGTAAGGCTAGAGAAGTTGCTATGTCTGCATTGTGCCAGTTAAAATATAGGGTTTCTCAATTACCCACTTTGCTTCAAGTCTCACAAG